TTGTCTGCAGCCTGGATACCCACCAGAAGACCGGGAATCACTCATTCACTAAAATGAAAATGTGCCTCTCCTCAGGAAGGATTCCCTTGGAAAATTCTCCATGTAGGCTTAGGAAAGGGAAAGAGGCCATCTCCATCGTCTGCTTGCTCCTTTGACCAGCACCTCCTGACTCACTACACTCAAGTGAGGACGTTCTGCTGTCTCCACGCTGAGCGCCAGCCTTGGGGGACGCCGATGGGGCGGGGGTGCGTTGCATCACGAGGGCGGCGTCGCTGGTGGGGGAGATGTTGGTAGTGAGAAGCCAGCGCTTTCTCTGACCTGACATGCTTCTTTACTTGGAAAAGAGAAGAATGGAACTGGCCTGCCAGCCAAGAGAGCCCTTTGACCAAGACTCCTGACCAAATATTTGCACCGAGATGTGTTATGTGTCCATGCATGAACATTCGTTTTTGCGATGTTTATTCTAATGGAGCTGTGTCGGTGTGCTTTTTGAAGAATTCTATTCTTCAAAAGAAAGTAATAACATTATAAAAGTTTCAAATGGAGGGTGTCTGGCTCTTCTATACGAGTGTCGTAAAAAGGGTCTCTAATTGTATGTGTGCTGATCAATCTACTTGAAAGACCTGTGGCTTTTAGCAAAGGCACGTCCTAACGTGCTTGCGCATGTGAGCCACGACGGCTTAATGTATATATTTGTTTTCCTTCGGAATCGGCACAGGAGTTCTTTCTGCCTTTCTCACATTTCTAGTGTGTTTTCCAGGTTGGTCACTGCCTGGATGTACTGGGGAGGAGACAAACGCCACACCACTGCCTGGATAAAATATGCTGTGCTCTCTTTTGCACATTGTACTAAACCACGAAGGTGTCTTAAGTCAGTACGTACAGTTACAAGGCCGTATGCGGCTTTCGCAAGGCCTTCTCGCCTCCCGGAACGTGTGCTGCACATTGTAGCACGACTATAGCGTTAGCATCAGTTAACCCCAGTTCACAAAACGGAACTCGATTTCTGAATCCTGTAGCTTCTCCAGGAAAGAGATTGGTCACACACCTATCTCATGCCAAATGTGCTGGTGACAGAGTTTTTCCCTATCAAAGAAGACATATTAGTATGGAAAGCAGCCTCTGTGGTCTTTAGGTGACGCTGCGCCTGTGAAGCCTGCCTTGCTTAGTAATCAAGTCAAATTTTACCAGCTGATAACAACGCTCCCTAAGAGTCCGTTCCCCCCGCGGTGGGCTTTATAAACACACTGCGCTGTCACAGATGGCGTGGGATGGAGACATTCACGACCTGGTTCTCGTTGGTTCGTTCTTGCTCTCTTCTACGAAAGGCACAAAGCAGGCACCTGGTTTTGAGTGTGCGTGGTCTGAGTTGTAATGCAGGGTTGTGTACCTCAGTTCTGCCTCCGATCCTACCAGAGGGAGAATGGCTTTGCAGGGCACGCGCATGGTTGTTTCTGAGATTGGAGGCAGCCTGCGCTGGTTTAGGAGCTCAGACAGCATTTACGCCCCACCTCAGGTCTCCACAGCAACGGACACCTCGGGAGCCCCACGGAAGTGTGGGAAACTCCTGCCCACATCCTCCATCCTTTGCAGAGGAAAAGGGTTTTCCCACACCTTGATTTCCTCTCCATTTACACTCTGCTGGGGCGGGGGGAGGGCTTGGGATCCAAAGAGCAGAGGCAGGGGCCCCAGGACCTCTCCCTGGAGGCCGGTCACACACCAGTCACTCTGGAAGTACCTATGAGGCAGAACATCCTTTGCTGTATGTGCTTGTTTGTAAGAGGGGACCTCTGTGGCAACCCCAGTTAAAGGGTGTGGTTTGAATGGTTGAAGAGTGTGACCCGAAGCGTCTCCCCAGGTGCTCCTGGCTGGTGCACCGTGTCTTCCTTCACACGCACGTGGGTCCCACCCATCCTTTCTTTTCGCTGGTGAGTGTGTGAGGGCAGCGGGGCCTCCGTCTCAGCCTGCAGGCGTCCTACCGTCCTTGCCAGTGGCCTCTGCCCTTATAGACAGCGGGAAAGGGGTGGGGACCTCTCCCTTGTGTCTCTGCCAGGGTGGCGAGGTGGAGATCTTTCACCCACCCCCAGAGAAGAGGAAAAGAAGGAGATGGCCGATCCCCTGGGACTAGGGAACTGCTTGGTGGCTGATCTGGAGAGAAGCTGTCTCCACGGGACCGTTGCAGGATTTGGCATGGAAAGACCGATGAGTTCGCCGGTCTCTCTGAGGTGTTTTAAAAATTAGACACGAGTTAGTCAGATCCTACCGGGAGGTGCTTTGTGCCCTTAAAAAGTCTTCCTGTTCTTCTGGTGGCTGAAGCCCCCGCCAGAGTCCGTGATCTGGAAAGCCCAGCCCGAGCTACACGTCCGCCCTGCCCCCTCCCAGCCAGGCCTGGGGAGCCTGCACTTGCCCGATGATTGTCTCCCTTCCTGAAGGCTAGAGGAAGTTTTTTTGCAGCCCCAGCATCCTTCCCTTATTGTTCTTTTCATGGATTACTTCTATTTTCCCAAATTACTGACACCATGAAATAAGTTCAATATCCACACAAAACATTACCTTTGATTTTTTTTTTATTTAAAAATTAATAAAGAACTTAGTGACAAGTATAATAATTTAATCTCTACGTAATGCCGTGTGTACATCTACATATGAGGGAACACTGTACTTTTTACCTTGGTTTTGTATCAAAGTTTTTACTTAACTCTTTCTAAGAGAGGAATCAGCATCTGGTAGTGACACATTGCAATTAAACTATGAAATGATTTTGAAAATATTTCTTTCTCTTCTGAAGATAGTTTTATTTTTAAATAGGGTTTATCTTCAATTTCCTTCTTGACTCTGAACATTTTAATTTTTTTTTCTTTTTTGGTCTAGACTGCTTTCAAACAGTGATGTCATTCTGTTTACTAGGATGCCCTCTTGTTGAGATGGATTTATAACACTCGTCAGAAAGCCACTAACACCCTTATTTCAGTTCCCCGAGATAGTCGGGATTCGTAAAACACAAGGGGGTATAACTTGTTGCAAACATTTTTATAACTTTAGTTAAAAACAGTATAAAATACATGAAACACATTTTTTTTTTTTTTTAAGTTTTTGTCTACATGAAACAATTATGCTTCCTTCATGGTACGGGATCAACGTGCCTGTCCATTTCCTTGCACAAAAATATTTCTCAATTCTGTTTACTGGTATTCAAGGATTTCCACCCTCACATAATGTTTCCACGAGAGATGCGTGTGTTTTTTTTAAAGGCTACCTCCGCAGTATAGTGTGAGCAATCCCAAAGAATGCTTACGTGACACACGCTTCATTGTTACCCGGTCCAGGTCTGATTGCTGATCACTAGGTCCCTGTAGAATCGAAACACTTAGAACTAAAATAAATTTGCTGTTGAATCAGGAGGAAAATGCACAGCAAGAAACAGCTCCCGTGAGAAATGCAGGTAGAGATCTCTTACCAAGGGTTGCCGCTTTGTTTTTGGCATCTAATCAATGAGGTGTGCATGCCAGCATTAGATCGGATGGGAAACTTCTGGACAGAAACTTGAAGACTAGGTTTTCTTGTACGTTCACACAACCATTCCAAAGTTCCATTGTACAAAAAAAGGCAAAATAAGATCCCTACTTCCTCTTGTGAAAAGCAGAAAATTGACAGACTAGTCATTCCTAGACTAGGGGCTTTTGATTTCTATAAAAAAGATACTTGCAAAGGTGCAAAATAATGAGTGAAAAAATAAAGGAACTAAGATTCGTATTGCAATGTGTAATCAAGAGAGGACTCTCAGTGTCACTGTTCATTTAAAAAATACCTAAAAACATTTGATTCACAGCTTTCCCCTAGGTATGTCATTTAGTACAACTGACTAATAGGTTCGATGCAGGCGACGCTAAGTTTGTCGGTTGGCAGCAGCTAAACTAAACACGCGGTTTCTCTTTGAGATGGTCAGGTCTTCCACACTCGTTACAGAGCGTAACGGATTGTATAAAACGTCTGGCTGCGCTTTGGGTGACGAACGGTGTCTCAGAGATTGATCCACAGAAACGCTTTCCGGTGGCAGAGAACACCCGTGATTTATTGGTGACTGTACTATCCGCCGTGTATCTCTATGTGTGTTTTCAGATTCTTGCCAGAATTTATCGTTTGGCCTTTGGGTACCCAAAGATTAAAAATGAGATCTAAGAAAGCTTAGTGTCCCATAGCTCTGACCCTGTCAACTGCAGTGATTAAAGGCATGTCCTGACTTTGGGGGACTCCTGGCTGCTGGCCGTTTGGAAAAGGAGCAGTAAACATGTGGCAGGTCTGAAGATGAACAGAATGCTAAGTTTGAGGTGTCAACCTGACACTGAGATGTGGTCACTTGGCTTAGCGCTACAGCACATGAAGGCAAATATACATATAGTCACATTTGAGAGATTATTTATGGTCTCCGACCACTTGAAAAAATTGTGCTTTCTCCGGAATTTGATGTGCTGAAAATTGCACTCGCCCCTGCTTATTTGCAAAATTAAACATAAAAATGAAGTCCTTTGCAAACATAAGGCTTGCTTTTTCTTCTCATTATCAAAAAAAAAAAAAAAAAAAAAAAAAAAAAAAAAAAAGAAAGAAAGAAAAAAGAAAGAAAGAAAGGCTTGAAAATAATTATGAGTTTTAGCTGTGTACAGAGTGATAGCCCATCGTCTCGCAGGCTGATGACGTAATACTTGCCGATCTGGGGCGGGGGCACAGAATTTTTTTACCTATCCCCTTTGACTACATAAACTTCATTTCAGAGCTTACCTCCCACATCCACGAATTGCAGACAACAGCTGGCAAGGTGTGACGTGTACAACCTTGCTTCTGTTAATTATCTGTTCGTACAAAAGGCCTTTTTGGTAAGCAGGGTGGGAAGTGGGAAGTGCTGAGCCGGCCAAGGCTCGCTCCATCCTATTCGTTTTGGAAAAGGATTTACTTAACTCCGGTGGGTTTTCAAGACGGCCTTTAGACTCCAAACACCATGAGTTTTAAAGAAACCAGAGTTTCCATCTTCCATGCTTTTTAGATTCGGGTTTGGATTTTTGCTTGGGAGTTGCGGAGTAGGGCTCCTGAGAGTAAGGCGAAGGTACAACCTGAGTTTCCTCAAAAGGATGGAGTTTCCTCAGAACTGGCTGGAGCTTGTCTTCTTGCTGCTTAAAGTCCAGCTCCACACTGGGAAGAAGAGAGAGGGGAGAATTTAGTGCGTGATCTTCCCTATACAAAGATCCCCCTTAGTGACGGCAAAATGCGGTGCCGTCCTACGAGGGTAACGATCATTGGGATTATGTTTATTATGTGATTTTCCGGCTCGGTAGTGAGCAGTCGGCTGTGATCTATTGTAGCTCTGTGTCACTGAACTATCTCAGGTTCATTTTCCTTGAAAATCACTTACGTGCTTTCGATGCGAGTCTGAAGTTTTATTAAGGTACTCCATTGGTGTCAGAGTAGATAATGTGTTGGTGGAAATGAAAAAGATGACATCTGAATAACCCTTTTGCTTGTCTGGAGACTGCACACACATGCTTCACGGGATAGATGGATGAACAAAAGTAGGAGTGTTCGGGGGCCATCCTAGCACATACAGAACAGGGGCGTGAAGGCCCTTTGCCTGCATACCTTTTCTATAAGATTAGAGAAATCCATGGATCTCACCTCAAACAACTGTGGCATGAAATGACCTTGGCTTATGTTCTTTGCAAAACCTCATCATCTACCACACTCGTGAGAGCCACAATACCCAACCTCGGGGAAAACTGTGTTTGTGGGGTCAGTGCCATTGAATGTTACTCAGTTGTGATCAAAGACAGTTTTCAGGCAAGAACATGGTGTTCGGTGACGATGACCCCAAATCGTAATTACATTGCTGAAGCCAGAGTGTGTGGACATGTAGCCATGTGGAGGGACCTTGGGCAGTGGTGATGATGTTTGCGTTAGAATGACAGGACTGAAGGCGATTTTTTCTTATGAAATTTCTCCACAGCCTGCTCGGAGTCCTCGCTTCTCTTCATGGCCTTGGAAAACCCATTGTTGATCTCCCCACTAGTTTCTAGGTTATCCCCTTGGCCTTTGGGATAGGATGCCCTGGTCCACACTTTTCTGTGATGGTCCCAGGAGTGATGAGCCTCGTCTCCCTTCTCTCTACTCCTGTACCCTGATTATTTGCATGTGGGCGCCGGCTTCTAGAGAATTATGCTCTGTGCTCCTTCATGTCTGGTCTGGATGCTGACTAAATGTCAGTAGATTTCAGTAAAGGCTCCGTGGTGATGATAATACATGAGCTCATAACATTGTATATCCAGTGGAGCCGTAAACCATTTACAAACATGAAATCCTATTGATTTAGAGAGGCATTAATCCTAGCCAAATTTTGACATTTTGGAAAGACAAAACAGCAAAGCTGTATTATCTGGAGTTTTAAAAACAAGTTCAAGACCCATCTAATGGACCATTTTATGTTTTAAATCCACTGCTCCATTTTTCTTAGCATCAAAGACTATACTAGTACTACTGGAAAAATTAAAAATATTGTCAGAGAAGTTTACGGCTAGTTAATAACCCCTGCGCCCAACGCAAGAATTCTTCGCCCCCCTCATTTCAAAGGGCCTTTTTGAGTTATGGTGCTGTTTATGGGAAGGAGGAGGGAAGCTCGTGAACTCGTGCCTTGCTAATCTAGAACATGGGATAATGGAGGCACAGTCCCTCTTAAGGGCAGTTGTGGGAAGCGCAAATCTGCAGTTATGTGGTGCGGTGGGAAGAACAGGCCCAGCATCCTGCCTTTTCTTCTTGTTGCTGCGGGGGGCTGTGCTGGCTTCGAAAGGTGCCTGCTTCTCTGTCTCCAGGTTCAGTGTCCTTTCCTTCAAGGAGTACAATAATTACTGCCCTGACAATTTCACTGCCTTCTGGTAAGGATTTCCCCCCGCGTCCCCCAAAGAAAAGTGAAAAAGTTTCCTAAACTCTAAGATGCAATTCAGATATTAGTTAATCCTTAATCTCTGTCGATCACTAATTTCATAATGGGAACAGGAGCGAGCAGTGATAAAGATAGATATTAAAGAATTCTTTGGCTTGGACCTTTAACAAGGAAAACAAGGACCTTGTAATTGAGTTTGTGAGATGCTGTGGTATCCAGCGTGGTGTGTTAGGTACAAAAGGGTAATTTTATCAGGCGCTTGGTTCGTATTGAAAGCATGCCTTCCAGATCATAACCACTTCAACAGTCCCAGATAGGTTTTGAGTTATTAGATGGTCAGGCGGGTGCCAGCATTTCCTAGGCCGACAGTACAGTTCTGGGTACCTCTAATTATTGAATTCCCATTAAGCAGCTACATTGGGAATCCTGTTATTAACCAATTTATCACACCGCGGAACCATGTAATCACAGAGTAATCTAATCTGAGTTCTTGTTAACAAAATGACTCGACTCTATCTGTCGAGTTGATTCCTGTTTGCCCTCCCCCATTACTGAGAAGCTGCCCTCAGGAGCAGGAGCTAGAGCCGGCTTCTTTATGGAGGGAGGGTGTATGGCCACACACGCCCCCTGGGAAAGCCTGCCATGAGACCGGCAGTGACCTTGAGCCGTGCCCACCCCCCCCCTCCCCCCGTCACTCACACATGGCAGTGCGTCTGCCTGTGGAACGGTGTGCCCTGGCTATCAGACTCATGATGCGTAGTACCATGTGCCCTCTTGTCCCCTGGGGGCCTTCTGTCATTGTGGAAGGAACACGCCAAGTCACCGGGTTGATCTGAGGCAGACAACTGACTGGAGAGGGCAGTGTCTGAAGGTTAGTAGTCTGGCTAACTGTGGCTGACATACAGCAGAGGTCCCTTCAGTCTTAGCCAAATGGCCAGAGGGAAGCAGCACCTGCTGTCCTGTCTGGAGCAGAGGACTTGGACAGAAGCCACCAGTGGACATCGGGCCCTCGGACTCTGCGCACAGACCCCGACCCTGTGAGTTATTCGGTTATCCTGTGCCTGCGGGAGAGGCAGTGCCCTGAGTGCCACTGGATGTGGGGATGGGGCCCTGTGGCTGCCTGGCAGACCCCGTGGTGCGGGTGTGGTCACCACTGCTGAAGACATTACTATTGTCTTCGTGGCTCTTACTTTCTCCCCGCCTGGCCTGGCATAGCTGGCCACTCCTCGTCCCCTTTCTCCAGCCGCCTCCCACAGGTCCCTCCTGCCACTCCTTTCTTTTCACCCTCTCTGCCCTCACCACAAATACTTACTTATTCGTTTCCTGATTATTTTGCCTTTGTCCCCCAAATGCAGGTGCACGGACTGGGGGAATGTTGTCCCATCCCCTGTTCCCAGCACCCACAGTAGAGCCTGGATCATGGCAGTTGACTACATCATACTTACTGAATTGACAAGTGAACGCAGAGCCTTAAAAGACAAAGTCGCCTCTGCTTTAGTCCTAGCTGCCCTGGGCTCTTCTGGTTGAGTCACGTGGCCCGTGCCCCCCGCCCCCTCTCTCCTCCCACCCTGAGCCCACTCCTTGCCACAGACCAACAGGGCTTCTCCTGGGGGTCCCGCCGTGGAGCCCGCTCCAAGTGGAATCTGCCTGTCTCCATTCTGTCAGAACATAATCAAAGAAGATAAGGAAACATCTTCTGCAACACACACAAGGATCCTTTTGGAGCTGGGCCCCACACTTTCAGACCCCACTTCTGTTTTTCTGGAAGAGTCTGTCTGAAGATCTTGGAAAGGATGGACGGGGTCCCTAGGCGCTCCTGAGTGGTCAGCTGTTCCCGTGCTCTGCTCAGGGGAGCTCAGGAGTAGTGTTTCATTCCTCCTGTGGGCTGGAGGAAGGCCTGGGCCACAGGTGGAGGTCTGGGTGGTGTTTTCCATCTTGTTGAGGGTGAGCGGCCTCCACTGTCCAGTTTAGTCCTGCTTTTCCCTGGAGTGGTTCCCGCTCGGAGACATAACCCTGGTGGAACGAGTGGATGGAGGTGTTTGTATTCCGAGTTTGGGCTGTAGACCTCGTAGTCCAGGTCCGTGGACTCTGCTGGGGGTTTCCACCGCTCTCTGCAGCCGCCGGGGTCTGTGTGCCCGTCAGCACACACGAAGCAGGAGGCCGCTGGAACTGCCACCCATCTCCCGCAGGCAGGATCTGGTGTTCGTGATGCACTGTCATGGGGAGATGTAGGTCATGCAGAATGCTGTCTGTCAGGAGGATGAGCCGTCTGGAAAAAGTCCTGATGCTTGGGCTCCAAAACGTGAACGTGAAGGGGCTGTGGCCAGGCCAGCCTTACCTGTGCCAGGTGTTCTCGCCTTTCCTGCTTGAGCAAAACCCAGACTGCAGATTGTGCTGGGTGAGACAGAGTGCCCCGAAGTCCTGGGGCTGTGTCCAAGACATAAGTCCCCAGGAGCTGCTCTTATTTACCCTGACACTTCTCCATTCCCTGCCTGCTTCCCCTCCTCCCACCAGACAATCGAACCATTTCACCAAAGGCTTTGTGTTGAGAACTCCACGTGAACAGAATCACGCAACAGCACAGGCCTTCGTGAAGCCACGTGCCCTACTCCACGTGACCCACTGTGATAAATGATTAAAGCAACGGGCTGTCGAGTCAACTTCTTTGGTTAATCTTTTAAAAGTGCAAGTTTTGGGGGCACCCGGGTGGCTCGGTCAGGTTAAGCATCTGATGTCGGCTCAGGTCACGATCTCATGGTTTGTGAGTTCGAGCCCTGTGTCAGGCTCTGTGCTGACATGCGTCAGGCTCTCCAGCTCAGAGCCTGGAGCCTACTTCAGATTCTGTGTCTCCCTTTCTCTCTGCCCTCCCCTGGTCATGCTCTGTCTCTTGCTCTCTCTCTCAAAATAAATAAACATTAAAAAAATTTTTTTTTAAAAATGAAAAATTTAACTATAGGGGCTTTTCTTAAAAATTATTATTCTGTACATTTCCAAAGAAACAAAAGCGTATCCTAAATCTTAGGCTGCTCCGTCAGCTGGCACCCAAGCTTTGTTTTCTTCCTGGAGACTCTGCTAAGCTTTGTAGTAACACCTCTCCCCCCACTCCCTGTGCAGAGGAGTGTGGTTGTAGCTTCTCCAGTCGGTGCTCTGCTTGTCTGATGCTCCTATAAATACTTGGACCTCGCCATGGTTTCTTTAGCACGCTGTCGCCAACTCCTCAAGTTAATTTAAGGGGAACGTAGTTAAAACATCCCTTTCTTCA